CCTCCTATTGTGGGTGTTTGTGGAAGAGAGTACTACAACTGCTTCTATGAAATTCAGTTTTCTCAAAGGATACTAACTCGAAACACTGAAAATACATTCCATTTGCTCCAATTATATAAAATCTCAACCAACTAAAATTCTAACTCGATGTAGACTTAATTCACACTTAAGTTATCCTTAATACTGATCATGATAACAAACCTTTAGTTCCTCTTGTCTAATTCAATTTTCGATATTCTAAAGACATATATCGTCACAACCTCTTGTTTAAGTAAGATGTGTGACATAGAACCTCCTAAAATGCCAGGGGGATCTATTTTGAAGCATCTCACTATTAATCTACTATGCACTTTGTAAAATACAAATCATACAAATAGGAACCAAATTATCGACTCAACACCTCAGGATTAACCCCCAGCATAGGGCCTTATATAATTTTTCTTGGATGCATCATAAAATTTGAGTTGAATAGGCTATAGGTTTTTGACAAATTGCAAGATTTAATGATGATATAGTCAATATTATGTAAATACCATATATCTGACACTTAAATTCAATGTTAGACCATCACTTGAATTGTTCTTTTCTTAAGCATGATTGAACTCATTAAATGAATTTACACCAGCATTTTTGGGGAGTTGAGCACATGTTTAAATATTTTGTATATATTCATAGCTTGTCATTCATGTCCTCTGATTTTTTTTTGCTGTTTACGTACTGCAGTGCACAAATATTTAGGAATTCAGCTATCATGCATTTTGAATAAACTTTTCTTTTTTTTTGCAATAGTATAACTGTTGCAATCTATGATTTAGTACCCAAGATGATGTTATTGCAAACTTTCTCAATGGTGCTAATATGCATATTTGTTTGGCAGGGTGTCAAAATAGAGGATGTGTCTTATGATCAGGATACCACTGATCTGCACAAATGTGTAACTTTTATCTGTGACCTCACACCAAAAATGGACAGATCAAATGTAAGCTGCAAGAACATTATCTGAAATAGATGCGTAACTTATATATGATGTCGTTGGTTCCTTTTAGATGTGTCTTACAATTTTACTGTCTATAAATTTTTCATATTAGCAACGTGCAGATGCATGTGCACGATAATGATGATTAGAGATCAATATGACAATGTTGTGAACTTGTGATAGGTATGGGGAGTGTGTAAAAATGTAATACCGAAGAACTTAATTGGCAAAATGTTGGAGGCAATAAGGGATATGAATATAATGATCAGCATGTACAAGTTACTTTTGGATTTATGAAACCATGCAGGAAGTATGTAAGATGAGATCTCTGAATGAGATCAGTCATGAGAATGCAAGATGACTAAGTGGGTCCAAATTAGTTAGTGAGTTTTCATGAATTGAAAAATCAAGTAGCTCATCATATATTTGATACTGTTGATTCTGGGGTTTCTTTTTCATTTGTCTTGCTAAATAAGTAGGCCATATAGGTAGAGATGTGAACATTCAGATTTGATAGACAATACAAAGGTATTAGTTCTTTCACATCCAAGATTAGACTAGTTAAAGATGAAGAAATGACAGGCTTAGAACACCTAATTTTGTCTCTGGCTCACATTTATCTTTCCTTACTGGTAAATCTCACTCCATATCAAGAATGACACAGAACAAGATCATGAAGAGGTTGTTCATGATGTGGTAATTGCATATATGGTTATGCGGTAAAGCTTGTAGTCTGCAGATACATGAGTGTGATCACATATCTGTTTTAAGGTTTGTTCTTGTTTGTAATTAACCTTTTGAGTACTCCAGTGTTCCTTGATAATATCGTACAATAACTTGGACCTTATCCATTTCTTATAGCTAATCTCTTGAATAGCTTACTAAATGAGAACAATTCCGTCCTATAAAATAAACACATAAGGTCCAGTAGAACAAAATTTTCCATTTATTGGTCTGGTAAATATAAGCTCAGAAATGACATTGTACTGCTAAATTTAGGCATAGCATGTTCTGTCTTTTAATTGGCTTCACTGGTCTTAGCTTCCTCTCCTCTACAAGAGGGGCTTCCTTTTACTATGCTTCAAACCAGGATATGGACACTTGATGCCCTTGAACATGGAAACATGCTTGTTTAAACTGGCATATTATGAATCATATAATGTACCATCTGATCTGATTAATCTTAGGAATACTGCCTAACATGGTGAGATGCTGGTCAAACTATTATAGAAGATGGATGGATTGTGCTCATTTTTCATTTGAGATGAATCTTTTTCAGTATTCTTGTTGAAAATCATTATTGAGAATGATACACCAAAAGTTTTGGACTTCTTTTTTTATCTTTTTCCGAAGCATCCTATTTCTGATATGGTTAACAATTTGTTGATCTAGGATTTTGTCATGATGTGAAACAAGAGGGAGGAAAAGAAAGCTTTCTGAAGTTTGTCTTGCAGAATATATAAGGAGATAATATTTAGTAAATGTTTGTATGAGAAAAGTGACTCTTGATGATTCTTCATAAGCATGTCATTGTGTAGGGACTAAACATATGACTGTGATCATGAAGGATATTAAAGAGCATCAATGTTGGGCATTTAAAAAGCATGGTGAGAAACAATATTAGCTTAGATTCATCGCTTTATAGGGTTTAGGAACTAGGACAGTGTTGAGTTATTGAAGTGCCAGAAATGATATATTTATAGACTTTGGAAGCTATAAAAGTTCAGTTAAATTGAAATTAATGGATGATGCTTTAAGAATGGTCTGATCATGTATCAAAGATCTGTTTTCTTATGGAATCACTTGCAAAATGACTGAAAGATATGTTTTTGACAAGAGAATGGGGGTTATTAGATCTGCATCCAAGTGTCTTCAAGTTGCTGAGAATGTCTTTCTTTTCCTTGCTGCTGTACAAGTGGGTTAGCACACTTCATTTTTGCTGTTTACTTGAGGATTGTTCAAAAATTTCCTAGCAATGAACAACAACTTTAGAAGTCAGATCAATATGGTACAGGAAATGGAGCTGAATGCCACTTGGAACTTGTTGCCTACTTACATTACTAAGTTCAAAGGACCAGCTTTTTATATGTCAGCGTTGCTGCCGCCCTTTGCTAGATTCCCAGTGGTTGCCTAAATCGTCTCCCTATTTTCCGCTATGGATACTATGGTGGTATCCACAATTCCACATGACCTGAATTTTTATTATTAGTTCAAGAAAGTAATAGACACTTGCTCCTTGGTTTTAGTAGGCTGAGCACAGATTTTTCTTCCTCGTTTCAAGGGGTTTCTAGGTGGTCTTCTTGAAGTGGTAGATTCAACATTAAGCTGTATACAAGTTTTCTTTATGGATAAGTCGATGATTTGCTTAGTGCCTGCAACTAAATGTGATTTTGTATCAAGGCTAGCTATTTGATTGTATTGCTTGTGGTTCACACTTACACTTTCTTGCATGTGTGTTCAACTACTCTTGAAAGGTTTGCCCTGTTTTGGTTTTAGAGTTTTACCTACTCGTTGCAGTTGTGCATTCTAGTCAGTGGAGCACTCGGAGGAAGGTTTGACCACGAGGCTGGTAACATCAATGTATTATACAAGTTCTCAAACATCCGGATTGTTCTTCTATCGGATGATTGCCTGATACAACTTCTACCGAGGACTCATTGCCATGAGATCCACATCCAGTCATCGGTAGTGGGCCCACATTGCGGATTGATTCCACTCGGTGCACCATCAGCGAGCACCACTACGACTGGCTTGCAGTGGGATTTAAGTAAGCATATCCAATCATTTACTTCTGTCTCCCTTTGTTAATCATAATTGTAAGTCTCAGGAGTTGGCACATTTTGACTAGATACCTAAAATCTTCACTCTGTTCATCTGCAGCCAACACAAGAATGAGCTTCGGTAGTCTAATAAGCACTTCGAACATTGTGCGTGAGGAGAGAATAACAGTCCATTCTGATTCAGATCTTATCTGGACGATATCTATTAAAAAGGATATCTGAGTAGTACATGTAGTACTTTATTCTATTTACTTTCCATGAGTGATATATACAGTGGTGATTATAGGTTTTATACGGTAACATTTATCCCTGTACTCTGATTTAAGTATTTCCATCATTTTTCATCTTCATTTATCGTCCAAGGATGTGGAAGCAAACAAGTTGACTTCTTAGGATGTCACCTTTGAATTCCATGGGTTTGCATCATTCGTTAGGCTACTACTCTTTTTGCTGGAGAAATTGAATCGTACCACTCTACGTTCCGATTTGACTTGTTCTCTTTGTTGGGTCCTTTCGATCGAAAAAGAGCAACACATCTATTGGTTCTACAAATTGAGAAAACTTATCAAAGATTATCTTATCTTCTAGGGAGATTATTTGACTACTGATTCTTTTCTGAATTTATCAATCGTTTTTAATTCGATGAACAATAACACAAGGTATATAATTTTGAATAATATTGCTTGTATCAGACGGTACATATTGATACACGGACGTTTGTTATTGGATGATATATATATATATATATATATATATATATATATATATATATATATATATATATATATATATATATATA